ATTGCAATGGTAACAATTAAAAATATGCCCGGTAAACTCATAATGTGATGTCTGCTAAGCAAACAATCTTCTGATTAGCATTTGATTTTCTAGAGAATCTATATATAAAAAGACTTTTTCATAGTAAACTGATATATTTTCATCTTAATTTTATACACTGATGTCTGAGAATATGGTTCAAATGAAAATGCCTCAGTGGAAATAATTCTTTTCTCAAGGTTTGAGTTATTAAAGTTTCTATGATGCTTAATATCAACATTAGAAGCCCATCTACACAACTAAAAGATCTAACAAGGAGATCTGGACATCACAGACCTCCAAATATAACTATCAAATATAAACAGCACCCCACTTCCATGTCCTAGGAGACAATGATGTAACAGTCCATATAAGGATCTTCCAAATTCTAGACTGACTTCTGTCCTTCATACTTGACATACAATTTGCCCTAAAATGTTTCTTTCTATACAGCAATTCTCATACAGGTTATCTATTAACATGTGAATGCTCAGTAAATGAAGGCAGACAAAAAGACTATATATACATAATACTTAATTAACAGAAAGCAGATCAGTGGTTCCTGGCTGGGAAGGCAGGATAGCAGAACAATGGGAAGGAAAGAGGCAGCAAGGTGGTTTATAAAGAGGCACAAAAGTACAAGGAAACTTCTAGGGGTGATGGATATGTTCACTTTCTTGATTCTGGTGACAGTTTTACCAATGAATATAAATCTGCCTAAACTCATCCAATTGCACAGTTTAAATAGATATATGCATTTTATAATTTATCAGTTATATATTATGATAAAGCTGAAAAAAAGAGAATAAAGGTTTATGTTCCAGGAAAAAAAAGTTTGCTAATAACAAAAAGCAAATCATTGACCCACAAAAATCCTGCTTTAATAAAATTTAAAGTTCTTTTCAATTAGTTTTTTATATTTATCCTGCCTTCTAGAATGAAGTTTCTTGATTGCCATTAACAGAAACTTCCTTTATTCTGAAGTTATTCTTTCCCCAAAACTTTTTCTTTCTTCTTTCTTCTATGACCTTTCCTGAGTATCCTTGAAGGCTTATTCCTGGGCCTCTTGGAACTCTTAACTCTTACAAGGAACTGGATAATACTTGTTTTAGTGCTTTCCAATTTACATTAAGTATTTCCATCTTCTTTTCAAATCAATCCTGAAAAATGGGCTCCTGCAATGGATACATTTTCAGTATACTCATTTTATAGATGAAAAAACTGAAGCTGAGACATCAAATATAACTAAGCTGTCCAAGATCAAATAGAGTAAATGATCAATTCTGAGTCAGATATAAGTCTATGTATCCTAAAATGCATGTTGTCGCCTCACAACCTTCTATCCTGTTACCCTTTATTTCAATCATCAATTTATATTTATCCTGCCTTCTAGATAGGATGCAGTTCTAGAAGATGTCCTATTCCATACTTTAAAATGTTTAGTGTGTTTGTCTATAAATTTCTTCCTCTTGGAATTGCAGAAAGATGCTAAAAATAACCAAAAAAAAAAAGTCAGAAACTGAATTGAGTATGCTTCCCCCAGAGTTCTACTTCAAGTGTCCCTTTGTTGTCAGTGGTTTAAAAGATCTAGACCAGAATCTAGTGTTATAAGATTAACATTGTCTTTTGCTTTTCCCTCTCCTCAGTATCTCCTACATAATAAAGAATTTGGCCTTGCCCCAAAAGAAGTCTGGCCTTTGTCCTTAGCTTCTGGGAATTATCTGTCAGATCTGATAGAAATGTTTTTGTTTAGAGTAAGGGTTGGCCACAGCCAATGGTTGTAGACTGGGGTCTGGCTGCACCATAAAAACCAACTGGGTGTTTCAAGGTGAGAATTTAGATTACAAGGTATCAGCTGACATAGAAATTGCGTTCAAACACATGGGCAATCAATCAATCAATCATAACTAAGTAATGAAGCCCCAATAAAAACCTGGATATGCTTCCCTAATTTGGAATCAGTACATATGGCCACAAATTAACACAGCAAGAGTAAGAAATACATCCTGAGGACAACAGCAGCTTCATTTCGGAATCCTCACAGATTCTTCCCTGTCTATCTCCTTCTTTTGACCAATTTTCATCTCCATCCTTTTTCCTGTAATAAACTGCTGAGTATGATAGCTTTCAGTGAATTCTGTGAGTCCGTCTAAGGAACTATAGAATCTGAGGGTGCATTTAGGAAACCCCTAACCTTATAGTTGTTATCTGAAGTAAGGGCAGTCTTATGGACTCTACCCTCAAATCTCACAGGTACATACTTTTCCTATTAAAATAAAGATTCATACTCAACACCTCCACATGATGTTCACAGAACAATCAAACAATATTTTCTAATTCTGCCCACCAGTGCAATGGATTTCTTCAGGGGTGGCTTTGGGAATGAGAGTGTTGGCTAGTGGGGGGTCTTAGAAAGATCATGGTTCATTTAAATACCATTGATACAATGGAGCAGACACAAGCTTTGGAATCTGCTGCTCACTAAGTGACTTCAGGCCAATTATTTAACCTTTCTAAGCCTCACTGTTGAAACAATACAGACAGAAACATGCATTTTCCAACATAATTGTGGGTATTAAGATAGACAAGATGGGGGGAAGCCTAATCTAGTGCCTTCCAAATGGCAGGTCCACAATAAATTATAAATAACTAACCTCTTCAGTTACTAATAGTTGTAAGAGACCATAATGATCTTCTATAGTTTCTCCCTTTCAAGTTCATACTGCCAGAATGATCTTTCCCAAATCCCTTTTCATGTTATCACTGTGTTTAAAGGAGGTATTAAATAGTTCTCAATCACAACTAAATCAACTCAGGTAGCCTGACTGGGGATTAAGAAACCTGGCTACAGTCCCTGCTTCTGAAACAAAAATAAAAAAAGGAGCAAATGGGTCCCCTAATTTTTTCCTAACATTATCTCTCCATTCTCATCAAGATCTCTCTGTCCTATCTAAAGTGTCTTTAGACATGTAACATGTACATGTAACATGATACATGCAACATGTATCTTACTTGTTCCCAATTCTCTCTCTTTCCTCACTGTGCTTCTCTATCTACACTGCCCCCTCAGGTAATCCAGATACATTATTTCTTTTGGGACAATGTACCTTAATTCACAGCTTTCTAACCAGAATGAACGTGCATTGAATGGATCATAGCTATGCCTCTATATGGAGCCCCCGGCCCTCCAGGTAGCCAGGGCAAGACTTGAGATAGTATGGAAACTTGACCCCAATGGCCTCTGACTATAAGCAGTTTATGTAATGAGTCATGCAATTACCATTTTTTCTATATGCCATGATGTGAAAAAGATGTACAGCAGTGCATTAACCTCACCGTACACAAATCTGCTTCTTTACTCTCTATCTTGATGGCACAATTCTTGACTAGCTGCTCTACTGTGTAGGTGACAGAATAGGTAGTGGAAAGAATATGACACTTAAGAATTATCAGGCCTATTCTAACCCCATACCTTGGGCAAGTCACAATTGTTCCAAGACTCAGTGTTTTCAGAAATAAAACCTACGTATCCCCACCTTTCAGATTAATGGAAGGCTTCAACTCTACAATGAGCATATGAAAACTCAAAATACTAAGTACTGATTATCAATACTAACAAATGCTCCTTGAGTTAACTAACAATATGATCTCATATGCTAAAAAAGAACTCTTCTGGTCACTAAAACTGATCTTTTAAAAGCTATCTACAGCTATTATGAAATACATTCCTGGGAAACTAGCATAGGTAGTTTTGACAACAACAGCTAATTTTTCCAATACTGTACCTAAACATGAAGTCTTGTAGGACTTGGTGACTTACCGTACATCATCTTTTCAAGTTTAAAAAGTTCCAGAGTTCCCTCATACTTTTAAGTCACTTTCAAGATTAATACCTGCACTATGAACATCTGACTACCTATTTATAATCCATAAATCCTCCCTCTAAGATTCTTCCTATGAAAATTTCCCAGAAGATAGCCGGGCATTGTGGCGGGTGCCTGTAGTCCCAGCTACTTGGGAGGCTAAGGCAAGAGAATCGCTTAAGCCCAAGAGTTTAAGCTTACTCTGAGTTGTGACACCACAGTACTCTATCAAGGGTGACAATGTGAGATTGTCTCAAAAAAAAAAAAAAAAGAGAGAGAGAGAGAAGAAAATTTCCAAGAACATAATACATTATTTTGATCTATGGACCCTTAGCAATGGCAAGGAGTCAAAAGGTAGTATGTGGGGCTATCTCCTGGTCATAACATCCTGGAGATGTCAATGATCTAACAGAGAGTGGTTGGTTAGAAAGAAGTGACCCTTTGGAAGAATAACTCAATGTGACCACAGGGAGTCCAAAGAAGCCTACAAGAAGAATGTGATACTCAGATACACTGTCACCATATTGCCTACCAAAGTCATCTCTCCTCATCCAAAGACTCTCACACCACTTCTGTTGGATATGAACCCAATGCTCCAACCAGTCCCAAATTTCTGCAGTACGTCAAGTTCCACAATTCTTCTTCGCCTTGGGTCACACTGTCCTCATTCTGCCTCTATACCCTTGTCTTCCTCTTCACCTAGCCAACATCTACAATTCTTTCAAGATTCACTAGACTGCAAGTTCCTTAAGAACCAGAAGCCATGGAATTTTGCTCAGAGCTATACCTTCAGTGCCTAGTACAGAAGATCTCCAATAATAAGTGGAGCAATGGAAGCGCAAAGAAACTTAAAGCATCTCTTGTCTGAAAGCATAACAGCTCCACTTCCCTCCTTCCCAACACACACACAGGGTTGGCTGCCCTCTTTTCTATGTTCCCATGATATTCCGTGACTAATTCTATAATACATTTGTCACTTGTACTGTGATTATCTGTGAGGGCAGAGATAGTAAGATGATGTCACCCTTCATCCCCTAGAACTTTGCACAGTACTTGAGACACAGCAGGCAGACTCAGTAAATGTTAATAACTGAATGAATGTGTCAGGGGACCCCGAGGAAACATGTCCCATCCTTATTGCCTCTGCGACCCCGGCGCGCGCGCCCGGCCCGGGTTTCCTCTTCCAGTGAAGCTGCCAAGAATCCCTCCTTCGCTACTCCCTACGATACGTGTATAGTGCCTGCCTCCCCCGGCCAATTCAAGTCCAACTGCTGCCGCCGCTCCTTTAGTGAACCCCAAGCCTTCGCTCCAACTCCGACTCTACACTCTGGAGGGAGGCTGAGGCACAGCCGTGGCCGGAGACGCAGCGGGAAGGCGCGAAAAGTCCGCTTCTGGGCTCGGCTGCCGCCCAAGGCGCGCCAAAGTCGGCCCGGCTCGGACTCCCACCTGCCTGGGCGCCAATAGAGCCGCGCGGTCTGTGCCCGTGCCGCGCCGAGGAGCGCAGCCCCGGCCCGGCTGGTCCTCGGCATCCGCACGTTCCCCGGCGGCGAGCGCCGAGCTTGACCCCCACCCCCTCCACACGCTGCGCCCCGGCTCGGACGCCCCTTCCTCGGGCGCGGGCGCGGGCCGGGGTGTGCAGCCCAGACCCGTGCCCGGGGTCTCCGGCTGGGGGGAAGCAGGAGACAGGGCTCCGGGAGGGGGCTGGTCCACGGCCCTGTGGCCTCCGCCGCCGTCCTCAGCCCTCAGTCTCCAGACCCCAACGTCCCACCAGGTTCCCGGGGCGGCGGGAGAGCGGCCCGCGGCGCAGAGCGCACTGACCTGGAAGTGCAGCGCCATCTTCCCGGGAGGAGGCGCCGGCCGGCCGGCCCCGAGGGCCCGAGGGGAGGGAGCGGAGACGGGCGCCGCGGAGGCCCTAGCAGCCCGCGGGGTCCCTGCGCCGCTCGCTACCTCGCTCGCGCTCGCTCCCAGTCGCCACAGCCGCGCGCCGCGTCCGCGTTCGAAACGCTGGCCGAGGCGGGGCGGGCAGGGACCAGGCGGGGCGGGCCCGAGAGGGGCGTGTCTGCCGGGGGCGGAAGAATCTCAACCGCCCCTTGCGTTCAAGTTTCAACCGCTTTGGTATTGGTGGGTCGTGACCTGCTGACCTCTGCCCTTTGACACAACGCACTGTCAGCCAGTGTCTCCTGTGACCCCTGAACTGACAACACAACTTTCCTGCGTGACTCCCGACCCCATGTCTCCACAGATTTTCTGGTCCTCCTAATACTCAGTTCTGACACACACAGCCATAACCTTTGACCCCACAATCCATCTGCTGCCCTTGACTCCTGATTCCCAGGGCCCAACTTTCATCGTTTCTTTAAAATGTTTTAACTTTATTTCAGTAGAATTAAACTATGCCCACATGCTATTAAATTGCAAAATTCTAGCTTCACCTCTTATTTTTTGTCTACATTTCATTTAAGATAAACTTATATTTTACACCAAATGATTTCATTGGAATGAGAATTTATTGGAGTAAAAGTGAGTCAAAATCTCTCCTATCTGGTATCCTTCATTACTTCTTCAAGCTCAATACTTCCATTTGGGGGGCCTTGAACCTTAGTATTTAAGGGAGAAACTCTCTTAAATATTTCTTATGATTCAGATCTCCTAACAACAAATACTCTCAGCTTTTGTTATTGTGAAATTGTCTTTATTTCACTTTTATTTTTTAAAAGGATAGTTTTGCTGGGTATAGAATTCCACATTGGCTTTTCTTTTTAATCTTTCCGTATTTTAAAGATATCTTTATATTGTTCTCTGACCGCCATTGTTTCTGTTGATAAGTCAGCTATCAGTCTGACTGTTGCTCTTTTGAAGACAGTATGTCTTCTTCAACCCCTAGCTACTTGAAAATGTTTGTCCTTCTCTTTGGTCTTCAGCAATTTGAGTTGGATGTCACTAAGTCTCTGTGAATTGTATATGTATGTATTCATCCTGCTTATAATTCATAAAGCTTCCTAAATGTGAATCTGATATTTTTCATCAGTTTTTGAAAAATCTTGGCAAATGTTCATTTAAATGTTACATTATCTCTTTATCACTCTTTTCATTCTGAAACTCTAATTACATGTATTCCTTATTTCTCCTCCCTTCTTTTCATTCTGCAACTCCAGTTGCTATGTTCCTTATTTATCTTCCCTTCTTTTCATTCTGCAACTCCAGTTGCTGTGTTCCTTATTTCTCTTCCCTTCTTTTCATTATTTTTTGTCTTTTCTTCTGTTTGTGCTTTAATCTGGGTATTTTCTACTGACTTGTCACCCATTAGTAGAAATTCTGTTTCACTATGAAGTGCTACACAACTCCCCTACTGAATTCTTAATTTTAGTCATACTCTTTTTAGTTCCAGAATTTTCATTTAGTAAATTAAAATTTCCATTTTTCTTCTTTTCAGTTTAAATTCATTCAAGGATTTTCTGAAATTCTTTATCTTTCTTCTATATTCTTAAACTTTTTAATTATATTATTTAAAACCCTTATCTGATAATTCCAATATCTGAATCATCTGAATCCTCCTCTTTTTTGGTACTTGGTCTTATATTTTTGTTTATTTGCTTGTTTGTTTAGCATATCTCATAGTTTCTTGTTGAATTCAGACAGCACAGAAGAATATTTATATCAGCTTTGGATGATACCAACTTTCTCCAAAGAGGATTAAGTTTTCTTATTGCAGTAGGCAGTGATAGTATCAGTGGCTCATTGAGGCTTCATTTTAAGCTCTTTAATGCTGGTTAATTTCAGTTTTGACCTTACTCCTAGGTCATGGTCCTTACTAGGTCTTACAACTAAAGCCAGAATGTTTACTAAGATCTTTCCATCTTGTGTGGCTTGAACTCTAATTTCTGTCTCCTCAGCACTGTGCAGCCACTAAAATCTCTGTTCAGCTCATTAGAACAATCCAATTGTTCTCTTGGATTTCTTGGATTCTCTTCCTGTGGATGCACATCTTAGGAACTGACCAATGATTTGCAGAGAGTTTATATACACATTTTTGGGCTCACATCTCTGCAGTTTCCTCTTCCTGAGAATTTTGTCCCACAAATCCTAGCTGCTTTTCTTCCCAAACTCATGCCTCTGCTCCTAGACTGTTAAAACTGCTCCTTCCTTTTTAGTTCTGTTATTCCTTGATCCTACTTTGAAAATGCTCTAGGGCGATGAGGAAGCTGAAGCAAATAATGGATCTTTCCTCTTCTATTTTCCTTCTCTCAAGGTTTGTGGCCAAACCTTGTGGCCAAAAATCCCTATTCAATAAATGCTGCTGGAAGAAGTAGGTAACCACATGTAAAAGATTGAAACTGGGCCCACACCTCTCACCACTTACAAAAAACGATTCAAGATTAATAAAAGATTTAAATCTAAAACATGAAACAATAAAACTTTGGATGTGGAAATAACTTTTTCTTGAAAGCTATTAAACAGCACAGTTGCCTTCATTGATCACTTGATTGTTTGATTGTTTCCTCAGCATTTGGATCCTGCTGGGTCAGATTAAAGCTTACAAGCTAATCAAGGACACAATTCCCTTTGCATGTCCTGCCTTCTCTAGCACTTTGAGTTGTTAAAAATACATATACTTATTTATCTGGTGGGGGGTGTAGGCATGTGAATATATATATATACATATATACACGTGTGTATATAATTGTACTTAAATGTGTACTTACAACTGTTATTTATATTTAATATATGAAATTGACTATGTAATTGTATATGTATTGTAATATTGTAATTAAATGTAAATGTGTACTTACAACTGTTATTTATATTTAATATATGTAATTGTATATGTATTGTAATATTGTAATTATTATTAAACATATATTATATGTATACACATTTGTCCTATTTTTATAATTGTTTTCAGTGAGAGGTCTAACCAACGTAGGATATGCTATTTTTACAAGACTGTTTATAACTTCAACTCCTGACCCTTAATCTTCACATCTCATCAATGGCCCATGAAGCCTCATTCCAACAACTGCTAACCCTTAAAATGTTCAATATCCTAATCCTGCCATTTTTCACTCCTATATCCCAAAGTTCCTAATTCCTATATTCTAACTTCCATTTCCATTATGTTCCAATCCCAACTATGATTCCCACATTCCAATATTTCTGATTTTCACATCCCAAAGACATTACTATTTCTGTCCTATGACATCTACTGCACAATAACTACCTATTGCCTTTGCCTAACTTCTAAATACCAACCTCCTTTTAAAGCTATTGTTTTAGAGTGGAGCCTATGGCTCAATAAGTAGGGTGCCGGCCCCATATACCGAGGGTGGTGGGTTCAAACTGGCCCCAGGCCAAACTGCAACAAAAAAATGGCCAGATGTTGTGGCAGGCACCTATAGTCCCAGCTACTTGGGAGACTGAGGCAAGAGAATCACCTGAGCCCAAGAGCTGGGGGTTGCTGTGAGCTGTGACGCTACAGCACTCTACCCAGGGTGACAAAGTGAGACTCTGTCTGTCTCCAAAAAAAAAAAAAAAGCTGTTGTCCTCAAATTTTAGGTCCTTGGAGCAACAGCATTATTTGAGTTTTGATCATTCAACTTTTTTCCCACTCCACAACATCTTTGGCACAACTGTAGGGTTATGATAGAAACAACAGAAGATGCTGACTATCGTGTGTATTCACCAGGTAATTCTGGAAGTGAAAAGCCAATTGTTTTTCCCCCATTAAATTTGAGTGGCCACTTAAGATTTCTGTTTTCAATTAACCTTCACTTCAGTGATTCTCTGTCAACAAAATATGCATACAACTTCATATCTTTAATGTCAGTTAATACAATTAAAGATTGAATCATATCTTATAGCTATTAAAATTAGCACAGAAGATGCTCTAAGACATCAAATAATTCATTTCTATCACAGAATTCAATTAGAGGAAGGACATTTAGAGCCCTTAGGAATCACAAAATTTTCTTCCTTTATGGGTTAGCTTTCTAAGAAAGATAGATGAATTTTTGATCTTTGTACTTATTAAGAGGATTCAGTTAATATTTGTAATTCTAGTATGTTGGGAAATTCATCTAACATCTCAGTTTTGATTTGTTATTTCTAAGATCAGGTAAATCTATAATTCAAAAAATTTTATAAACAGTAACATGCGGTGATGCAGCAGGGCACAATGGTTAGAAAAACAAACTGTGGAGCCAAACACCCTAGATTTGAATGTCACCTGCATCACTTAAAATGCTAGTAAACTTTGGTGAAGTCCTTTCATCTCTCTATGCCTTCATTTCACATATAAAAGGAAAATATCATAATAAGTACCTCATAGGTTATTGTGATAATCAAATGAATTAATCTATGTGGAGTATTTAAAAGGAACAGGGCAAATACTAAATACTACATAAATATAATTATCAAATAAGTTTATATTATTTTCTGAATATAATGTCTAACATTGCATTTTTTATGGAATGGGATTATAGTTTTAATTGAACAGACTAAATCATCCCAGGCTTTTTCAGTTTGTAAATTTACTATCAAGGGATATTTCCTCATTCCCCTGCTCAACCCCCTCCCACTCAACTTCTGTAGAATGCAAAATTTTGAAAGATTGTGACATTACTCACATTAATAGCCTTTCTATTTCATATTTTTATAAATTGTATAAAACTCCAAAATAATATTAAGTAGTAAATGATCTTTAGGATAAATTACTTGATGAAACAAAAATATAGCTGAAATGAATCAGCATTTTAAAAAGCACAGATGAATTGTTTAGGCAACTGTTGTATTTTGAGAGAGTTTTATGTAAATTTGAGTGTTAGGATGAATCCTCTAAT